TTTAATGTTCCCAATGCGCATGCGCAGCATCATGTTTTACACATCTGTGTAATGTACGAATGTGTAAAAACACTAAACCATAGAGATAGTAGTACTAGAGGTCGCATAGTCAGAGTGGGGGTAATCCTATCGACCAAAGGACGCACTCATTTGAGTCCTTCCTTTCTCTCTCGTTTCGCGCATGCGTATAGCCGTATACTCTCGAGAGAGAGGATTGAAAGAAAGAATGAGGAACTGAAAGCTTAAGCGGGGAGCACAGACTTTTGCATAACGCATAACACATGAGGCATAAGAAATTAAACCAACCAGAGTTCTCTATTACATGGAAAGGAAAGAAACGGAGAACTTCGATTGGTACATATTCTTATGCATTACGTGTTATGCGTTATGCAAGAGTCTGTGCTCCCCGCTTTAGTATATGTTCTGTGGGCCTATATGAAACTTTCATTTCCTCGTTCTTTCTTTCAATCCTCTCTCTCGAGAGTATACGGCTATACGCATGCGCGAAACGAGAGAGAAAGGAAGGACTCAAATGAGTGCGTCCTTTGGTCGATAGGATTACCCCCACTCTGACTAAATGCTATTAGTACACTCGTTATACACTTGTTGTACTTATATCTGAAATTTAGTAAAAGTGAGACAATTTTTGTGCAGACCAGTAAACCGATAAGGAACAAGTCCCTCATATCCATTTTTGTTCGCACTTTATTTTTAATTATTCAAATACTCTTATTTTTAATTCAGATTAAAACATATGATAAGTTTTTTTAATTAAAAACAAAAATTATTTAACCTTCTATGGGCCGAATTTTTTCATGACTAAAAAAATTTAAATAACGTGAAATTAATAAATATCAAAATACAAATTAACAATGAATTCAGTAGTTTCAACGATTTTATTATAACGAATATGTTTCGTAAGTTTGAAATAACAATGGCTTACAACGTTTGCATTTGTGTGTATAAAAGCTTAAGTATGGAATTCCATAAAACAGTTTATACTTGGCATTAAACATAGATATACGTTGCGTTTCGAACATTTTATTTTTTTAATCCCTTTGCACCCTGGCTTTTTGCAGCGTCCCCTCTTATCCGAAAAAATTTGCCAATGTGCTATTTCATCTTTTGCACGTCTTCCACTGGAAATATTGCATTTAATCTCCTTAAATTTAATAAATTAATAAAATATCGATATACTAGTATTTGAAAGTTACATGAGCCCATAGAGGGTTAAAGTTAGTATTATTCTAAATTTACATAAATGACATAAGTTTAGACAACACAATAGCAATATCATTCTTACTAGGGCTGACAAAGGTAACGTGACAGTTGCAATGGATATTAATGACTATAAACAAAAAATGCTTTTTTTTACTAAATGACAAGAACACATATGAAATAATTCAAAAGGATCCTATCTGCATGTTGACCAGAAAGCTGAGGGATCTTTTGACAAGGTGGAAGAGAAAAGATTATATCTCACAGCAGATCTACAGCCAACTATATGTGAGTGATGGTATTCTTCCGGGGGGTTATGGTTTACCAAAGATCCATAAAGCTGAAATACCGCTCAGAATCATCGTGTCTGCTATTGATAGCACATTATATCCATTAGCTTCCTTTTTACACAAAATTATTTCCAAAGTGAGCTGTGATTCTCCTAGCTATGTTAAAAATAGTTTTCACTTAACAAGAATGGTAGATAACATTTCTCTCGATGACAATTATATTCTGATTTCATTGGATGTAGTTTCGCTTTTTACCAACATTCCCATAGACCTAGTTCTTGACAGTATTAATCGCAGATGGCCTTCTCTCTGCAAAAAAATTAATATTCCTAAAAACAAATTTATAATTTCTCTTAAATTAGTATTTAAATCGGCATTTTTTTCCTTTGACAATATTATCTATAGACAAAAATTTGGCATGCCGATGGGATCACCCCTGT